GGGTCCAGGTAATCCTTGGTTGAAGAACCGGACCCGGTGGTTCTGTACTGGCCTTCCGTACGGATATGCGCGCGCGTCAACTTGTTGGGCGGGCGCCATCGGTGCGCCCGCTGGGGATGAGGCCGGTGACGGATGGTAGCTAGTCGGCGGCGAGCTAAGCGAGCTCGGCGTCATCAACTGGTCCGTCACCTACAGTATCTCCTCCGTTTCGGTTCCGCGCGCTGTCGGGAGTTCAGATAGAGACTCACCAACAGCACGGGCCTTGTCCGCGCGATGCGCGTGAATCTTCTCACCGAATCGGACGGTGCTTGAGGCGACGCGAGCGAGGTCGTCTGTATTCGAGCCGAGCCGTGCGTCTCCCCTATCGCTTGCGCGTAGCGTGCCACCGCTTGGTAGTCCACGCCCGAATGCGTCGCGAGATAATTCCGCACCTGCGCGCACGTCGCTGGCAGAAGTCCGTCAACGAAAAGGGACTTCAAGCGCCTGTCCGAAATTACGGTTCCGCAGCGCAACGCCTTGTCCCACAATTGGTTACTGTACACCTCCTCTGTCATATTCGAGCTTTGACGGAAGGAGGTGACATCACCGACCGCTTCGGAAATAACTTCGTCCGTCGCGTACGTGCGTAATAAAAAATTAACAACTTCCGCGTAGGTTTCGAGCATCTCGCGGTGCTCCGCATCGACCGCCATGGTGTTCCCGTGTAGCCTGGACTGGAGCAAGCCGTGAGCCCGCCCAGTCAAATAGAACTGGAAACACCATACGGCCGCGCCTTCGCTGACCCCATTGTGGTCGCAGGCCATCTTGAAGCGCGCGAGAAATCCTAGCACCGCGATTGGATCTTGACCACCGAACGTGTGAGTTTTCAGCTGGATGTCCAACTTCTTCCGATAACGCCTAACTCGCCGCGCGGTACTCGCGTCGTAGCGCGCGCTGCGATTTTCCAGCCTATACGTGCGGTAGTCGACGGCCTTGGTGAACAAGTCGTTCAGCGGCCTGATCACCGGCAACCGTTTCGGATCCCGCCTCGGGGCAGACCGGCGATCTCTGCCCCTGCGATGGCGGTCTCCTTCTCGGCCGGGGCTACTGCAGCCGTCCAGGTCGGAGTCTTCTCGCCGGAACCGACGTCGGTCGCGCGCATTGCGGCCTCTGCGGTCGCTTCTGCGCGATTCGTCCGACACGGTGTCCTCGTCATCGGAGGGGTATCCACCTCCTCCGATATCGCGGTATCGCGTATAGCGTCCTTCGCGGTTATCATCGGAGGGGTAACCGACCCCTCTGGCATCGCGGTGTCGCGCGTAGCGTCCGTCGCGGTTCTTGCACGTCGCCCTGTGGGGACGTCTTGTGTCTTCTTCCTCGGAGGGGTTTTCTGTACCCTCCGAGTTATATCCTTGAGCGCCGGGTGCGCTTCTTCTGCTCGACCGATACGGCTGTCGCTTTTCTGTCGCGAAGCGCCCCAGGCGGTTTTCTGTTCCGCGGGGGCCAGCCGTATCGGCGAGTACGGGAGGGCCATTTTCTGTGGGCCCTCCTGTAGCACCATAAATTGGTGGGAGGTAAATGGTCTTACTATCCGGGTGAGGGTCCATTGTACCGATCCCGGGTGCGGCGCCGATCGTTTCAGCGTGCGTTAGCGTAGAATCCGGAGCGGTTGAGTCGCGTCTCGCGCGTGCGTCGACTCCTGCTCCGGCGAAGGTCGTGGCCAGACGATTGGCCACGGCGGAGCTGATCGCTCCCTTTAGAGCCGATCCGGACGGGGACTCTTCATCCACAGTGGTGAGCGCGGACACCACCTCGCGTTGGACTTGGGCAGGTAGAAGTTCGTCCAAAAGCGGTGGTATCGCTCTGCGTACGTGCGTGTCCACGAGCGCGGGCACCGTTCCGTCGAGGCATACACGCGCTACCTGGGGGAGTTCCGTAGCGAGGAACTCCTCGACCCAGGCCTGGATGCGAGGCTGAATCGCGTCGACCATCCATTGGACGCGATTCTCAGTGCCTGCCGACGCGGCCGGCGTAACATCCGATGCGGACGCTCGCGTGCCGCCCGGTCGCGGTGGCGGTCGCCGCAGGGCTTCCGGGTTCTCCACCCGGGGGCGGCGCGCCACTGCCACTGCGGGTTCTCAGACGCCCGGAGGCGGAGTCTCCCCTTCTTCCCGTCGGTTCATCGTCGAATATGCTTCGCAATCGACGCGGTGATTTCTCAACCTTTTCCGTCCGTGCGGTTCTGCACGCGATCGAGCGACTACGCGTGCGGCTCAACCTCAAGAGTTATCCCCTCCACAAGAGTACAAAAATGTGGGATAACTCCTCTCCGCCCTGGGTTGGGTGAGAGGCGGAGGCTATAGCGAGGGAGCACGCGGCGCGGACGCGACGTGCTAATTGAACCGATCGGACGAGCTAGCGAAAATGGAGTGGCTCACTGGCCCGTTACGCGCAGTCGCCCGGTGGTGCGTGAACGGGAGCGAGCCGGGGGCGAGCTTGCCCCCTGTTTACTGCGGAGGACGGGCGTCGGGTCTTAACCCCTCAGAGGGACGCCCAGGACACCTGTCCAATACAGTACCTGCCACTTACTGTGTACCAGGTACTGTACGCGATTAAATTTCTAGCGCCGTACTTACAGCTATCGGATGGGGCCTCACACTACACGTGTGCCTGGCAGTACACGCTTACAGCGATACGACCGGTCGGAGCGCGCGCTCGCTACACGGGGACACCTTTCCCCGTGTACACCGTCACGGGCGTCTGCACTGTAGACCAACGCGTGGGCCGGTCGTTGTATCACAGTTACCACGGCAGCCATATGTGACAACTCATGAAACAGATCATCAATTAGAGGGACAAAGGCAATGAAAGCGAAGGATAGAGTTACGGCATATCTGTGTACAAATGAAGACGGATCCTGTAAGGTTCCCATGGCCATCATCGGAAAATCTAAGAAGCCTCGCTGTTTTCGTTTGGGACAACCTGTTCCATATTTTAGTGAAATGAATGCATGGTCCGATGCCAGGACGTTCAAGCTATGATTCTACGAGGTGTTTTTAATACACATTCGGAAGCGGACATCGAAAACTGTGGCACTTTCGATGGACAATTGTGGACCTCTTGGGACAAAAATTGTAGAGTCAAAGGAACCACAAGTAATAATGCCTCTTCCCCCAACTGTACAAGCCGACACCAACTTATGGATTTGGGTATTATCTCAGCATGGAAGGATCACTATCGCCAGCACATGCTGCGTCGTACTGTCGCTGACCTTGAGGATCGCATGCAGCTTCGAGAGATATCGGAGAATAAACCCGCCAGCACAAAGAGGATGGTCGAAGGATATGATCCACACATGCTTGACGTAGCAGAATTGGTTATGCAGTCCTGGAAATTTGTGAGTCAGATATCTATTGTTCGTTGTTCGGTGAAGGCTTCGATACTACCTGTTGAGATGCAAGCAACTCTAACTGCAGAGCTCGGAAAGATGAGTGGGCCTCGGCTCCCACCTGACAAAGAGCGTATAGAAGATATTATATATATGCTAGAGAAACTAACACTTAACGTTGCACGGAACGTTCCGTTGGCGACTTGTTTTGAAAGAGTACGAACTGCAGACATCTCCAGGTGGGTGGAGGTGGAGAAGGAGTCGGATGTAATTGTAGGAATAGTCAACGACGCCATGGATAGCCTGCTCAATATGTCTTTGGCTCGGTTGGGCTTAGAAAACAATGATGGCACCAATAGTGGTTCCGACACGCGACGCTGTCGCCCGATACCCACTGCTGTTAAGCTCACGGAATTGTTTTTGGGGCTGGAGAAATTGGCGTATGAGTGCAATGTACAGGAAGCAAGGCAAGTTCTATGTTACGACGCGCGAAGAAAGGATTTCTCAATGCACGGGCTCAGGGAAGCAGATCACGAGAGAGGCAAGCAGTGCTGGGCGATTATCTAGGACTAAAGCGTATCTCTAGGTATGCATTAGAGGGGTGCAGATTTCCTACGTTCTTTTCTGGGCTAGTAGTGCCACTACGGAATAGTGCCACTTTCTGGCATGTAGCAAGAGGTAGCACTACTGCGCGTATCCCACTGTAACATGGAGGAAAGGGATGCGTTATCTGCCACAGTGCACTATCAAAAGGTGCGATATTGAGGGTCCCCCCTGTACATCATTTGGCGGCAGCTTGATCTTGGAAATCATCACAAAATTTTATCCTAAACTACTCTTCGCCTTGGAAGAGATCATATATATCAGAGGACAAGTCCAAAAGTTTCAAATTTCTAAACATTTACCGAATGCGCAAAACCGCCACTTCCCAGTCATAGCCGAAGTGCTTGGCACCCTTGCCCCGCGCCGGGCGACCACTCTTACCCCCCCCCCCCTTCCGTCCTCTCTCCCCTTTCTGACGGCCATCGCCATTCCGTCAGGGCACGGACCGAACCCAATCCTCCTCTCCATCTCGCCATCAAAAGCTTTTCGAGAATCTAGCTTGTCGGCGTCTTTGCTGTGCAATGGTATTGCCCTTCACGCTCTGATTGCTCACAGCGCATACCTGTGTATTCATTCGTCGACTGTTTCTCACGATTATCCCCGTCTCTCAATCGCACTATCCTCTTCCAAAAAATTTGGCCTAGCTTCTCGCAATCTGTTCTCATTCTGCCGCCAGACCTGACGGTGAGCATCTCATCAATCCACATTCCATCTCCTTCTATTTCGTTTACTTTGCATCCGTCAAGTAATAACCCCACCTTCGATCCACGACACAAGTCTACTCATGAGCGCCTCGAAGGCAGGGATTCCCCACAAGCTTCCCGAGAAGGACAATGCTCGCGAAGAGATTGTCGAGTTTGAAGAGTTTCCTTCTGACGACTCTGTCCGCGACCTTGTCGAGTCATGCTATACCAACGCTAAGCTCAAGCTGGAACGCTTTCGTGTGGACAAAATCCGTGCCAACTTGGCCAAAGCTGTGCTTATCGATGAGCCGTGTGCCCCAGAGATTGCTACGCACGCATCGCACGAGATGCGAGGGACCGAACATTTGCCTTGTCGTCCAGATGTTGCCACTGCCGCGAAAGCAGCGTTTGCAATTCAACGATTAGGGAAACGGTGCTGGGTCGGGAAGCCCGGGATTCCACCCCCAGGAGTCGCCTGGGTCCGCACTCAAGCAAACGTCGCGGTTCCCGAAAAATACGAACATGACTTCCATGTGCCGTATCTTGGGGAGTCTGACGCCATGATAGACTCTTCCAATACGCTGGCCATGGATTTGTTCCAGCAGGACCTTGAGGAGGATGGAAACGATTCCGAGATTGAAGAGTTTAACTACAATATTTATGCTGTCAATGAGGGGCCTAGCGACATCCCCAAACCTCCCAAGCAAACTGGCGATACCCCAAAAAAGGAACTACGTTCTTCCTCTCTCCGCACAGAGGCATCTCCTACCGAAGTTGCCGAGAAGGTAGTCCCAACATACATGCTCAAGCAAGCTATCCCTGTTTGGGATCGGGCAGCGAAGCGAGTGGCTCTGCGGGATATAATGGATCGCTTGGGAACCGAGAATCTAGAAAGCATCAAAACCGTCATCTCCGACGTGTTCAAACTGGAAGGTTCACATCTCGTCGCATCTTATCAAGCAAATGTGTTAATGAGAAAGAAACTTTGGCAAATGCAATACGACGAGGAGCGTGGGAAGAAAGAGATGCACGTGGATGTCGTCAAACATGCGCGCCGAGAAATGAAGACTTGCCCATCAGATGTCCTGAAGAGCAAGTCAATACCTTTTTTTGTTTGTCGGCAATGCTACACTTACGTTTGCTCTTTGCACGGATATCAAAATGACGCTAGACCAGTTAAGAAACCGTACGACAAGTCGAAAAAGGAAGTTCTGGGAGAAGAGGCTGCTGCGGAAATTGAGGCAAAATGTGAGGACCACGATTCTAGCAAGTGTTGGTTTGGGCAGTTGAATGAAGACGATTGTGTGGAATGGGTCTCAAATCTCGTAGCTAATCCATCTTCGTGGAACGACATCCACTCTGTAGTACGAGAACTCTTTGAAACGTTTGGACACGACCCGTGCAGAATTACATCCATGCTGAAAGCCTTCATTCCTCAGATCTCGTCAAAAGTTCGTTTTACGTGCTTCCGAGTGGGGTACTTATGCCGTCAGTTCTTTTCGCAAACCACTGGTGCAATGAAAGCCCCCCCCGCCCGTACTAAGAAACCTCAAAGCAAATGGACTAAGTCAAGATCTCGACGACCAGCTCAAGAGATAGAATCGATGCAAGGAGGGAAGCGATTGGACTACGTCCCATGTCGCCATGACGGTGCCTGCACAACGAAGAATTGCATCTGTATGCAAAGTGGTTTGCTTTGTGAGAAATTCTGCGGTTGTAACCACACACATGTGCAAAACAGGAAGCTGCAATACACTTGCAGCAATGCTTTTCGGGGATGCGCGTGCAAGGCAGCATCAGCGTGTGCATCGAAAGCATGCTTCTGCTTCTCCATGAATAGAGAATGTGACCCAGACCTATGCCGGCAATGCCATGAATGCCGTGAGTCCCCTCTCCCCAGTGGAAAGAACTGGAGCTGCACGAATGAAGGTTTGCAGATGAACGAAAAACAACGGATCGTCGTGGGCCACTCAAAAGTGCATGGTTGGGGAGCGTTCGCTGTGCGCGACATTGCAAAGAACGAAATAATTGGAGAGTATGTGGGCGAGTTGATAAAGCAAGAAGAGGCAGAACGGCGGGGTAGAGTATATGACGAGATCAACTATTCCTTCTTGTTCAACACTACACAGGATTACGCACTTGATTCGACCAGGATGGGTAACAAGTTACGCTACTGTAATCACAGTATCCGACCGAACTGCGAACCAAAAGTGATGCGCGTTGGTGGTGATGTGAGAGTTGGCCTATATGCCAAACGAAATATTGCGAGGAATGAGGAACTCTTCTTCAACTACGGGTACAATGACGGTCCGGCGTGGGCCATGCAAGGCAAGGGCAAACATAGCGCGGCTAGCAAGAAGAAAACCGCAAAGCGAGTGTCCCCCAGCGACGCGGAATCCGAGGAAATACTCCCTGTGTCCTCTAGAAAACGGAAACATTTGGAAGAAGACAATGATGACGAACACCCGATTTTGCTTTCAGACGCCGAGGAGGACTATCCACGGCTTGCCCCACCAAAAATCACGATACCTTCTAGACCGAGACAACGAACAATGCCCAGGGCTGCAGAGGTGAACAGACGCCACTCTGTTAGCGGAATCGCTGAAGCTCGGAAGTTGTCTGAGGACAGTATCGTGCAGAGGAGAAGCGTGAACCATTCGAATACTGGGGAACCTGCCGTGATGGGGCGCTCCTTGTGGCGTGGCGTTTTGAGGCGCGTATCGGGCGGGGCAGCAAAGATTGTGGAGGCAAACACGGCTATATTATCAGAAAACGATAATTGTCCCCTCACTTCGGACAAAGCCTCTGTCGTTGCTGAATGTCAGAAACAGGAAGACAATATATCCCCCTTCGATGCCAAAAAGCAGGAACGCCAAAATTCTTCCCTGGCTTCAGCCACTCGTGCTGATGAAGGGATCCCAGCCAATAATGCTGCACCGCAAAAAAGTTATATTCTGAAACTTGCCGGTTCAAATGAATGTTCGGAGAAAGAGGGTAACGTAGTTTCGAGTAAGGGTCCGCTGGCCTTGAATAACCATGTCAAAACTGTGGCTTCCACTATAGCCCAAGAGCATGCCGACAAGCGGAGAAAGGTTGCGACACCCGATGATTTCAAAGATAAGAGAATGGATATTGACGACGGTGATGATGGGAAAGGGGAAAAGCGCCCTGTGGTGTCTCAGCACATTGCAGGGGTTGGTAGGATTGCTGGACAAGCAGAAGCCTCTCTTTCCCATGGTCCTGAGAGTTTTGAAGCACCCAATGCGCGCGCTAGTGTACCGCACTTAGATTCCAACTGGGAAAACAACTGCAATGGTACCACACCGCCAAGCGCATCGGAAAAGGAGGAGAATATTATCTCCAAGATAGGTTTACCGGACAATGAACCTAAAATCCTTAATTCGACTTCTCGAAAGCGGACCCGTCCGTCAGATGGGAAGGAGGGTAGCTACGTTGGGTCCTCTGTCGCTTGTTTGTTTCAAACTACTTTGACGGCGGCAAAACGACAAAAGCTGCTCGGGGCGGACAAGCCGACCCCGTCCGAATCCCATGACTATGACCACGACATAGCAGATCACGAGAGGTCGTCAAAGGCACCGAGAATGAACGGGGTACTTAAACTATTCACTGAGGGAGATCGCAGCCCTGCCGCAAAATTACGGACCATTGGATCAAACAAGGAACAATCCAATACCTTGGGGCCTAAGCGCTTATCCCAACCGCATCCACAGAAACAAGATGGGCCGTCAAGACCCGCAGGAAAGAAACAAGCCAAAGAGAATGGTGCACTCGGCTCAAGTGAAGACGATGGAACGGATGAAGCAGTGCCGGTCGTAAACCTCGTGTCCGATGACGACGAGGTGGGTGCCCGTGCCGGAACTAACGAACATAACTTCAGTAACTGGTTCACGTGAGAATGTAGAACAGCGTTTTCCTTTTGCTGAGTTATGCAGCTCGCAAAAGAACCAATGTAAAACAACAGTAACAATGTGGCAACGACAGCATCCATAAATCTGTATTTCTTGCGTTGCCACACCACGTTTAATCGGCAGTCAAGATACTGTCGTGTCATCTTCTGGTTGCTCCCCTGGGTGTCTCAAAATTGTTCCGCTCTGTACAATGTCTCCCCTTGTGACGATGCCTTGGAGCGCACCTCCGACTAGTACGAAGGCATGTGTTGGCATCAACATCACAAACATGAAGTGCAGTTGACTTAATGTAGTATTTTCTGTCACAACCAGGGGACTCAAATCCGGTTCTATTCGTGTCTCTGTACCTCGACCGTACTCTGGAGGACTCTCCTCTTCTTCCTTTGCCCTTCCTTGTTCGATAGCTTCCTCTGGAAGTACTGGACTATCTGACAAATCTGCCTGTTCATGAACCCCATTCATGACCCTAGATCTCTTTTGATGCCGATCCTCGCTTTCAGCTTGAACTGCTTCATCGCTGACACTGATACTGGCACCTAGACTTCCTCTATCTGAGAGACTGGTGTCGACCTCTCCGTTAGGCAATCTTGGTCTACTACTATTCATTAGATTCAACAAACTTCGGCGTCGCACGGCACCGAGCAATAGTCCTGCTCCCGTGACCACCGGGAAAGAGTCGAACCGTGTGTATGTATCCAACATTGAGCGAATTTCTCCCAACGTTGTATTCTCCCGTAGAGATATCACGTCCGTGCGCATAACCTCGTGTACTTTTTGAGATGGAGAGCGATCTCGCCGCATGTGTGGCATGTACGGCATCTCCTTCATTATAATGAGCGTATCGTACAAAGATCGGTTGATCCCGTTGGCAACAATGACTGAGGCTAATACTGCCGCAAGCGTGGGTACCATATGCTGAAGCTGTCCAGTTACCTCAAAAATAACGACAGCCACGGATAGAGCCCTCGTCACCCCTGCAGTAAACGCGGCCGCGCCAACGACCGCGTAGCCGCCCGGGACGATGTTTGCACCAAAAAGTAAGCGTAACAACTCACCGTAGAGGCGCCCCAGCCCAGAGCCTAGGAGAAAACATGGAATGAAGACACCAGCGGGAATGGGCAACCCAATGGCGATGACAATGAGCGGAAACTTGATGAGAACGAGCAGTCCAACATCAAGGTGTGATAACGTCTCCATGTTGTCCGACGAAAAGAACTCATTAATTGCAAGACGCGGATCAAGGCGGAACAAATACCGCGGGTACTGGACGAGCGCAGCAATGATGCCAACAACGCTGAGCAGAACATATCGGTTGGTCCCTGGGAGGCGGCGCTTGCGCAAGATATAGACGGTATGGACGCATCGAACGAAAAAGGCGCCTAGAATGCCGAGCAAGACGCCGAGAAAGACAAAAGCGACAAGCTGCTCCTTCTTGTAATCATCCTTAACAAAGGTGGTATTGAGAAAGGCCTCGACCAAGGGGGTCTTGTAGAGCAAGTCATAAACCAAGCTGCCCGCCAGCGTGGCCAAGACGCACTTCCAAAAGGTCGGGACGAGATAAAACGAGGCGGTAGTTTCCAAGGCGTACAAGACGCCACCGATAGGGGTACCGAAGGAACTGGCCAGGCCAACGGCACATGCGCAGGCCATAATCTGCATGCGGAGGGCGCGATCCTTTCTCAGGTCGCGAAACGGCGGGAGGCGGGAGAGATGGTGGGCGACAATACAGGAGATGTGGACGTTGGGTCCCTCCCATCCCACTGGCAGTCCACCCCCTATCGCGCAGACGAGACCAACCGCTTTCGCAAGCAGAGTCCACAAAGAAAGCGAGGGCTTGACCTTGTCGTAAAAACCAGACATGAGGCTCTTCATGGCGGGAATGCCCGAACCCTCCGCCTCTGGGGACCAGAGATGGCAAACCAAGGTGCTGGTGACGCACAAGACAAGGCCCGAGAGGACGTAAAAGATATACCCCGCAGGCGCATTTGCGTTGACCAGCGCCTCCCGAGCCTTGACGACATTATGTACGGAAATATCGACCAAAAAGATGATAGTGGAAGGAATGATGCCCAACAAGACCAAGAAGGCGAGGATGCGGGCGAGGTTCTTGACGGATGTGGGAGCGCCGGAGCCGGCGAGATGCTGGAGCGCGGGCGGGGGAGCAGGGGATCGGTAGGAGCCCAGACGTGGGCCTGGGCGCGAGAAAGGGTGGGAGGGGCCGGGGCGGAAGACGGGGGTTTCGGGTGCGCCGTCGAGAAAGGCAAAGTGGACCTCGTTGACGTGATCTTCCGAGTGATGATGCTCTTCCGTCAGCAGCGGCTCGACGTCCGGCGTGCCTGCGCTGCGCGGCGGGCGCAACGGGAGCGTCACCATCGCGGTGAGGAGGGAGGGGGCGGGGGAGAGGAAGGGGGGCTGGGGGGGGGTTGTGCGAGTGTCGGGGGCCGCGGAGAAAGGCAGTGGTAGAGGGGGCATTGCTGGATATGGGACAGACGGTACGGCGCCAGGAGGGGGAAGAGATTGTGCAGAAATTGGAAAAGTGGAAAAAATTATGGCGATCGAGCGTGCATCTCCACACCAGCAATGCGAATTAAAATGAGTCGTCTCCTTGACGTCAATGCAGCTCCTTCCCTCTTCAACGGGACTCCTTCACCTCCCCTCCCGCTGCGAAACACATATGCTGTCTTCCCCCATCTCCACTTCACCGCATCCAGTGAAGATGGCGGGGGATGTGTGTGTGTGTGTGTGCGTGTGCAGTGTGGTGCACACACACCCACAGCCATCCTCCTCGGTGCTGCGGCACCGCTCACAGCATTTCGCTCTTGATACCACACACGTGTAAACACGTGTTGTTACACGTGTCATACATAAAGTAATCCAGATGTGTGCCGACACATCTCGATCAGGCTCATTCCGCAAGCGGTCACTCCTGCGGTACAACGATGAGATCAGCCCACGCCGGACGCCTCTTCCTCACCTCTTGATATCAACGCACGGAAACGCTGCGTCCCATCCTTCTTCGCCCTCGCCCCCACCCGCCCTCTCTCCTCCCTCTCCCTCACGCCTCAACCCCCCCCCCTTTCCACTCTCATCCCGCCCACCCCCTACCACCACCATGACCTCCAAACGCACCCGCTCTTCCCTCCCTTGCCCACACCTGCATCGCTGCGCCCTCTCCTTCCTGGCACCGTTCCCCCTCCGCACCTCGCATCGCCCAACCCTCTCGCTGTCCCGCTCCCCCCACCTCACCCCTCTCCGCCCCTCCCTCGTCTGCCCGCGTGTCCCGCGCATGGTCCTCCAATCGCAGAACACCCGCGACGTCGACGACCGCGTCCTCCGCGCTGTCACCTCGCTCTCGCGCCAGGACCGCATCACCGTCTCCGACGTCGCCGCCACTGCCGGTCTCGACCTCTCCCTCGCCAACGACGAGCTCGTCTCCCTCGCAAACCTCACAGGTGCCGCCATCGACGTCACCGACGCTGGCGCCATTGCCTACCGCTTCCCCCGTGACGTCCGCGCCGCCCTCCGCAGCGCCTCCCTGCGCGCCTCCATCCGCATGACCTGGGACCGCGCCTTCCCCACCATCTTCACCGCCATCCGCCTGGGCTTCGGCGCCCTCCTCATCCTCTCCATCGTCGTCACTTTCGTCGCCATCACCGCCCTCTCCTCCGCCTCGCGCTCCGACGACGACCGCCGCAGCTCGCGCTCCTCCTTCATGCCCGTGCGCCTCTTTGCCCCGGACATCTTCGACGTCATGTTCTACACCCGCCAACGCCGCTACTACGCCCGCACCCAAGGCTCCGCAGACGAAAACGAAATGTCCTTCCTCGAGGCCGTCTACTCGCTCGTCTTCGGCGACGGCGACCCCAACCAAGGCCTCGAAGACCGTCGCTGGCGCCGCGTCGCCGCTGTCATCCGCGCAAACCGCGGCGCCGTCACAGCAGAACAGCTCGCCCCGTTTTTAGAGCTTGAAGACAACCCCACCCGCTCTTCTTCCACCGCCGTCGTCGACGAGTCCTTCGTCCTCCCGGCCCTCCAGCGCTTCCAGGGCCATCCCGAGGTCACAGACGCAGGTGATATTATTTATGTCTTCCCGTCATTTTCCACCACGGGGTCCAAAATGCCCAACGTAGAGTTTGCCGGCCGCGGCTCCGCCGCCCGTGACGGCTTGGGCGGACCATCCCTCGTCGAAAAAGAGCTCACTATGAGTCGCGCCCCGATCGGACAACGTACCATGGTCATCGCGCTTGGCGTCGTCAACGTCCTCGGCGTTCTCACACTGGGCGCAAAACTCGCCGCCGTCACTCCCCTCACGGCCGACGCGGCCGCCCTTGTCAACCTCATTCGCTCTATTTATCCTGCCTTGGCCACGTACGCCGCCTCTTTTGTCTTCATTCCCTTGGCCCGGTTCTTCAGGCAGAGAAAGGTCAACGGCGAGATCAGGAAAAGGAACCGCGCCCGCGCGGCCGCCTCTGTCCTCGCCTCCAGACCGGACGCTACTCTCAGGGCCAAGATGGCCGCTGCTGAGGCTTATGCGCAGAAGGGTAACGTTGTCAAGTCCTCGGATGTCATTTACTCATCCGATATGGACGTTTTGGATCAGAGGGCGGCTCAGGAGAATGTGATCGACGACTTCGATCGCCGCCTGAATAGCTAACCGGTGATCGCCCGTTTCAAATTTTGCGGGCGGTGCTCAGCTGTTTGGCATCTGATGTGGGCGACAGTGTTTGGATGTACTGTATTTTTGTGCATGTTTGCGAATTCAAAACGCCATGGAATTGTGAATGGTTCAAAGGGTGTTACCGATAAATGGCTGTCTATGATGGCATATGTGCTTCGAGAAAAAAGAATACCGATCGCGAGTTCGACTTTTGTGCGTCATGTTTACGCTGCGATGTCAACAAATCTCTGGTACGCTAGGCTTCTCTCGCGTCTAGCTTGCGACTAGTTGCCGCCTATGAGTAACAGGCCTCCGGTTCTAATTTATGCAGGTCGTCGTCCAGTTGTGTGCCATCACCACTCTGCCCTTGCCCTTCTATACCATCGTAAGGGCCATACGGGATGCGAGAATGCATCTTCTGTTGAGTCATTGAACATCTTCCACGTTCTTCTGGTGAAATACGCACCATGTCTTGAGCCCGGTCAATACAATAGTGAGTTGCTTGTTCACGATTTGTACATACAAAGGCACTTTCGCATGGCCTGCTTGTGCAGGTTCTCTGCGCTTCATTGACAAAATCGTAGCAGACGCCTTCAGTATCCGAGAGGAGGGCACAGGGACACAGCTCATGAGTCGAACGAACAGCAGTGTTGTTCGACGCACTGTCGACGCGCTGAGCTGTGCGAATCGAAAGCAGTACAGAGGAAAATAAAAGCAAAGAAACGTTCATATGAACAAACCTTTGCATCACCATGCTGCTTGCCTGATGAGTCAATTGAGCAATGCTGTGTCCCTCGGCGTTTCGTTATTTCTTTGACTTGTTGAGCAAAGGGATAGAGATCGCGCAAACGGTGTGAAGGATGATTTGTATCTAGCGTCGTCTCAGTGAAGCGATCTCGCGAATAGCTCTCACGCCTCGCAATTCTTAGAAATGATAGTTTGTATTGGATAAAACAAAGGACACCAAGTTGTCTGAAACGATGCTTGCGACGAGTTTGAACCAGGTCCCACTCCATCCAGGCATCCATAGACAAGTATTGTTATATTCATCTTTGGATAGAGCGAAGATATTCTGCGTCAAGACTCAGTCTATGTCCTCAAATCAGCTGTTGCAGTGTCTGGGTATATGTGGCTAGCGCAGCAGCCATAAAATGCATTACTTGCATTATTCCCGCTCCAATAAACCTGGTCATGAGTCCTCCTTGCAACCGCATGTATTGACTCTCCTCAAGAGTGAAACCCCCCGCATCATGGTGCATCGAATCTAGTCAGCTCATTCTTGTATTCTGAGGGCACAGCAATCCTTGGACTTTTCAAGACGTCTGATGGCCACCTGCAATTTTTTTTGCGTCGAATGCTCATAAATGCTGAACTGCGGGGTGACTGTTCTTGAGTGCCTGCAGGGACCAGCGCCCATGACTGATTGTAATACATGTGCCCCTTGCACTATCGTTATGCACAGCCATCAATTAATTCAAAGGAACAAACCCGCCTCGACCTTGATGATTTACTTCCTTTTCTCACGTCCCTACCAGAGGCAATGCGGCTTTTCAGACAGAAAGAATCAAAACATGCCACGAACCATGTTCGGCCTGTGTGGGTTCAATCCTCCCGACTGTCCCTGTTACATAAAAAGCGAAATGAAGCCAAAGTCGCCAAGCGTAACCGTCGCTTTAAAAAGCCGTGCTGATATGGCTACACATGTTGTAATCTGTTTGCACAGTTGCTCCCATCTCTTCTAGGTCATCATCTCTGAAAATGTGAGCAAAATATACGGCTGCAACCGGCATTCGTAAAGCAATAGGGTTTACGTCAGGAACGTTACCTTTCCGAATGTAGTTCTGGTGTGGATTTTGTCTTCCATGTATGAAAACGATCTTCCCGACAGGGTCGTTTTAAGTGTTCCAGCGGTACTGTTCTTCAAATCTAGCCTTACCTCTTGTTTTCGTCCATTAAGGCCCCAGTGATGCACGTGCTTGGAGAAGCGAGATATGAGTGTGATTTCAGATCTTTGTGAGCAGATGCCATGATGGTTTCGAGGTCTAGAGGCCTCAGAGACGAAACCTCTCACGAATTGCGCAAGATTCTGTTAGGAAATGTTGAATGCGAGAGTTCTCTCCAAAATGGGAGACGCTTTTCGCCAGCGCAACAGCATGGGCCCCAAGAGGGAAAAAGGGATTTAACTAATGTGAAATATGCGACGTGAAGTGTGAAAAATGACTTGCTCTCCTGCTGGGTTGACGAGGCATAGCAAAAGCGCAGATAAAGTTTTGATCCTCTTGAAACTCAACCTACCCGTCGCCCTGTTGATCCTTCTTCGTTCGCGACGCTTCTGTAGGACTCTAGCTAGTACCTATCTTATATTTGAGCATGTCGAGCATGAAGCCCACCCAACCCGCTCGTTTTCTATACCGTTCTGATACGGAACACCCCATGCGGGACATGCGTGCTATCGAAGTCCATGCACATCTGTTCCCGTCCATTTTCCGACTTCGACGTCAGAATATGACGAGTTCTTCTGCGTCTAAATCAGTTTTACTTCTTCTGTATCAACCATGTGTCCTACTCAGTCTTGCTAGAACAGCAATGCCCTTTGGATGCCGCTTTGCAGGCACATGCATCCGGAGAATACCTCTAGAGAGAAGTTTCGTTCAAATACTGGTCATTTGGCACCCAATAGCTCTTCTATCCAAGTTTGAAGAGTAGTTCAGCGCTGTGAATAATGTTGAAGAAACAAGATTACGCTTTATTACCTAAAGATCTCGGTCCAGAAAAATGCTTACCGTTCCTTGAATTCCAGAGGATTGCCCCTGTCTTTCGCTGTCCCCAATTGGTGTGGACATAAACGTTGATACAACGGCCAGAGCAGCGTAGTGGCGCGCGTTTCCATGCCACCCCGGGCCGCTATCCTTGCGATACTACCCGCTTCGGCGGATGAGGACCACATTCGGCTTGATACGGGGCGCGCGTCCAAGACTCACCTGAGTTCGAGTCCTGCTTTGGTAAGCTTCAAAGATGAGGGGGCATTTCCAGGATGAGAGGGCTTGAGTAGCGACCGTGAGATCGCGTTATCTTACCCAGCGTGTGTGTGAAAAACATTCCCGAATGGTTAAGCCATACAAGAAAGAGTAGGGAGAGAACAAACCAGTGACGACTTGATGACTGAGCAGCGAAGCTGAGGGTGGGATGGTGGGAGAAACAAGCGACGACTTGAGTAAGAAAGAAGAGTGGTGAGAGAGAGTTTGGCGTGCCTCTCTTATACAGCCCTGTTTTCGGGCAGTGGCCGAATTTCCATTTCTGCCAAGTTCCATGACGCGAATGAAGAATCATTCGCAATCATTGCCCAGTTATAGTGGGGGTGCCAAACCATTGCGTGTGACTTGGTGATGATTCATTTTTGTGCCAAGTGTTGATTACGCGAACGAAGAACAGCACCAAGTCATTCGTGACTTGGTGCTGATTTTTTGCTTTTGACAAGTTCTTCATTACGCGAACGAAGATTCATTCCAAATCATGGCGTGTGGCTTGGCGCTGACTTGTGGCCAAGTCATCCTGACTTGGCTTTCTGCGGCTGAAATGGTCCACTTGATTTCCACTTCCTTCTGAGTTGTCGTGCGTTCCAACCGAAAAGCCCCCTTGTCCAAATTCACATTTCAATTGCCGATGAATGCACTGAATAATGTTGAAGAAACTCCATAGGGAGTAGTCGAGATTTCGGACAGGTGTCCGAAAAAGAAGACGGAATCCTCGCACGGCTGTACGCGAGCGTCGAGATAGGATTCTTCCATTGTGCGAGCGACACTCCAATCCCCCCAGATGCGAATGCGGTAGGAAGGAACTCCTATTGCAGCGCATTCCGATGCGGCACCCATGCGAAGCGAGTGTGAGGACCACAGCACTTGCGGAGGGGGAGTGACGCCAGCGTGAGACAAGCAAGCTTGCAGCCAACGTGAGATGCTTGCCGATGACGGTGTGAGCCGTTGGCCCGGGAGGGCCCAATAGTAGCGACTTGTGGAGCGGGTGTTTCGGCGGTACCTGTCGTACCGTAAGACCAAGTCGATGAGCGATGGCTTGTCAGGAGCTAGCCTAGTGTAGGATAGAGTATGTGCCACGCGAGATCGATTTTTCCGTAAAGCAATTGCCAAGTCAATTGATTGCTCCGAAACTTGAATGTTGTCCAAGCGAAGCGCAGCGCCAGCTTCGCCCCTTTCGAAGAAGACGTAGGAAACCAGAACAGCGGTAGCGTTGCGAATGAACTGACGGTTGAGAGCGGGAGCGGCCATTGCAGCGTTGAAGATTTTCTTGGCCACGGTGCTCGGGAGGGCCCGTCGTTCCTTGTGTGCGTCCGGGTCGTTTTCGGCGCGGCGATCCAGGTCAGACTGTTGGTAGGCGGCCAGCGCGAGTTGGATGAGTGGGGTGTATCCAACGGGCAATTTGACGCGTTTGTGGGCCGTTACCACTGCGGAGACGTAATTCTTGACTGATCCGCCAGCAATCGTGCCTGAGTCGAAGAGCCAACCGAGGTACCGGAGCAGAGATCCTTCATCCGCAGCCCATGGGTAGATCCTTTCCAACGTACAGAACGTAGTCCACTTCTGCCAGAATCGCTCATTGTTCTTCCAGGTGTTGGGCGCACGAGCGCGGTGAATCAGACCAGCGATAGTAGTTCCTCCGCCTGAGATTCCAACTCCGGCGGCGCGTAGAACTGAGCCCCGTAGCGCGGCGGCTAGCGGAAGCTGCTGCGTATCGTCCAGATGGCTATTTTCCACGGTGGGGCCGGCAGGTGCTGTGGGGCCCACAATGGGGGTAGATAGACGTCTGGCGCCTGAAACAGCTGAAACGTTCCGATTTCCTTGAGGCGACGACACCACGACTGAGCGGGCCACCACGGGGTGACCAGGAGACCCTGTGCCGTTTCCTGGATGATCTTTTCCACGACGAGTGGGATGAGCTTGAGCGGGGGATTCCAGAAGTTGATCGTTTGTCCCCAGTGTTGCTGTAGCGCATCGATTCCTGAGGATCCCGGTGAGCGGTAGCGGCTGTTGAACCGGCGGCAGATCGTTGATTCTTGATCCGCGAACCGGTCGATTGTTGGATCCATCTCGCGTAAGAGCGCCCTGATTGTCCGGGTGTTGATCCTCCAGTCGTCCAGTGAACGCAAGCGAGAGAGGCGATCTGCGAAGCGGTTGACGGCAGAAGGGACGTATCGTGACTCGATTGAGATTCCCAGCTTGAGCAGTACCCTGTGTAGCGCCCGCAGTTCCTTCATTAGGGCTGGTGAGCGCGTGGTCATCGTGTTGAGTATGTGGACCACGGCCTGATTGTCCTCCCATACGCGGAAATGGGTCCCCTTGCGAAGGTCGTCTGCGAATGCCTTCAGATTGTCCGTTACTGCCCTGAGTTCCAAAAAGGTGATGGGCTTTGTCCGCAGATGCGGATCCCAGAGTCCTTTTGCTTCCCAGACCCTTGGTTCCCCCATCCTGAGGTCGTGTCCCAGTGTCCCTCCCATCCCAATTGAGGTTGATGCATCGGAGTGCATTGCCATTGAGGCCGTTTGGTGATGGAGAGGGCGCGTAGACGGTGATTTGACCAGTTCTTTCCAATGTATCAGATCCCGGATGGCTGCGTGCTTGAGCTTCACGCGCCGCTTCGTTGGTCCCCGTAGTGAGTCGTACAGAGACCTGGTGTAGAAGCCGGCGAGCGGCATGGCCAGAGAACATGAGATGGCCACCCCGAGGAAGTGGCGTAACAAAG